GAGTTATATACTTAAATGACTTACAATACTTACCTGTGCTATACAAACAAATTAAATGAAAAAAAATACCTTAAAATTGCTAGACAGTTAAAACCCTTACTCAAACAGAAAAACAAGGACTTAATTTAAAATGCCACCTTTGTTTTTCAAGTACAATAAAGAAAAATCAAAGCAATTTTGCTAACCAAACAGGACCACCATAGGAAAAAAAAAAAATCACAGAAGAAAATCATTCCAGATTTACCAAATTTACATAGAGAACAGATAAAAATGTATGTAGGAGACAGACATTTGGGAAAGTGTTTAAAATGGAAGCCAATGAAAGTCAAATGATTAAGGGACTTATGATATACTCATGCCATTAATTTTGCTGAAATCAGGAAAACAATCATTAAATTATCTTCATTAGCATGAACAACATCCAGAAATCATTAGTCTCTTCCCAAAATATGCTGGATTAACAGTACGGCGCCTTCATCAGAAGAATACCCACACCAAACTAGTAGGAAAAAAAATTGCATATTTTCTAGTTTGAAAGGCAAAAGTATTACCAAATGATACAACGATAACTGGAAATTTAAAAGGCTACGGTCTAGTCCCACTCTAATTAAGTAGAACTTCTATAAACAACGGACAACTTCTTTGAGCAATCTCCACATCAAATTTTGCTTCTATGAAAAAAAAAATTATTTAGCCCCACTCACAGAGAAATTATGAAAAAAACTATGGAGTATTACTAGACCCAATTAAGTATCCTTCGACAATTACGTGGGGGTGTGTGTGTGTGTGTGTGTCTATTAGTGTGGCAGTGGAGGATATCCACATAAAAATCTCAGCTTTTAGTCGAAGTTGGGGTAAAAACAATGCTTATTTAGAAAAATCTAGCAATTTGGTTTTTTACTCTCAAAAGCTCTATTTTAAATATTTTTCACATCCTGCAAAATATAAGAATAAGGAATAGTCCAAAAAATCTTTTTTGGGGGGTAATGGTCTCTTCAGTGATTGTTTACTATGTAATCTCTAAAGACAAGCCTGGTTTAATGATCCTCAACACTAGTAGTATTAAACGTGAGCACACAACCATCTTATCACTGAGGCTCATTCACAGTGCAGATATTAAATTAAAATATATAATATTATTAGAAAGTGTTTCATCAAAATATCTTGAGTTACATTGAAAATATAAAGCAATCATGATGCATTTTCAATGCCAGCCTAATTACTGAATTACAACGATAATAAAAAAATTACTATATATAAATGGATGTCTTTCAAAGAAAGACTCAATTTAAAACACAACAGGTATTTGAAAAGCAAATGAAACATTACCGTAATGGCACATTCAAATAACAGACTTGAAAATTATGTTTATAATTCTAAAAATCTGACAAGATATTTGATATTACTATTCTGCCTTTCAAAAAGTACATCAAGCCTAAGCTATAAAATTTAAAGTAAATTTTCGGTTATACAAAATTCTAAATATAAGGCTAGTCTACTATTCATATTTTTTCCCCTAAAAAAGCTCAACCAAAAAATAATAAAAGAGTGTTGGTCAGGCGAGGTGGCTCGTGCCTGTAATCCCAGCACTTTGGGAAGCCAAAGCAGAGGATCACCTGAGGCCAGGAGATTGAGCTCAGCCAGGGCAACATAGCGAGACCCTGTCTCTACAAAAAATAGAAAAATTAGCCAGGCATGGTAGCGCACACCTGTGGTCCCAGCTACTGAGGAAGCTGAAGCAGGAGGATCAACCTGAGCCCAGGAGCCTGACGTTGCAGTGAACTATGATAACGCCACTACACTCTAGCCTGGAAAACAGAGTGAGACTCTGTCTCAAAAGAAAAAAAAAAAAATTCCAGGCGTGGTAGTGCACATCTGTAGTCCTAGCTACTTGGGAGGCTGAGGTGGGAAGATCACTTGAGCACAGGAGTTCGAGGTTGCAGTGAGCTATGATTGCACTACTGCACTCCAGCCTGGGTGACAGAGCGAGACCGTGTCTCAAAAAATAAAAAAGTGTTGGCCGGGCGTGGTGGCTCACGCCTGTAATCCTAGCACTCTAGGAGGCCGAGGCGGAAGGATCGTTTGAGCTCAGGAGTTTGAGACCACCCTGAGCAAGAGTGAGACCCCGTCTCTCCTAAAAATAGAAAGAAATTGGCTGGACAACTAAAAATATATACAAAAATTAGCCAGGCATGGTGGCACATGCCTGTAGTCCCAGCTACTTGGGAGGCTGAGGCAGAAGGATGGCTTGAGCCCAGGAGTTTGAGGTTGCTGTGAGCTAGGCTGACGCCACAGCACTTTAGCCTGGGCAAAAGAGTGAGACTCTGTCTCAAAAAAAAAAATTAATTAAAAAAAATTAAAAATAAATTTAAAAAGTGTTGATCAACTTATAATATATTGTCCTTGTTCATTAAATAAATGTAATTAATTAGGAATTAACTTACAGGTTAGACTACTCTATCTCACAATAATATAACTTTATTTCAAAATATGAATCTAAATGACCTCAAAAGCTTTAGTTTTAGAATAGAAAAAGTAAATAGTGAAATCTGTTGTAAAACTTTCACACAAATACATGTATTTGTTTATAGAATTAAAAATATTTACTTCCTCAATTTCAAAACTTCTTTGGCTACAAACTAGCTTATGTATCTTGATTCTAACAAATTATTTCAACTGTCATGAAAAGATATATTATCATTAAAATTAAATGCTTGAACAAGAAAAAAGTTTTACACAAATTTATTGCATCCAAATAGTTAAGCATTTGCAATAATACACTATTTACCTCTTTATAAACACCAAAACTGAAAATATATAACAATACTACTAAAAGGCAAAGCATATGAAATTTATATACAATTTATACACAATTACACAATTGTGTACAAATTTAGACATATTTACAATATGCTGTCTAGCAAAATATTTCCTACTCAAAAAATGTGAAGTTGGAAAAATAACTGCAAGACTTAATCATGATCTGCAAACAAATTTTTAAAAGTTGCTTAGTACATATTCGAATATGCTCAAATACATCATCTATACTAAAATAGTGCAAGAAGGTATTTGTAATGCCATCATGACTAGATAACCCATGGGTATTAGATACTTCTTTGGTATAGTAAATATTAAACAAGTTATTAATTGTTTATTTTATAAAAGCACATTAAACTGAATATAAAAAAAGACATGCTCAAGATAAAATGCAATTCTTCTCAAAAGTACTCAACAGGGTTATATTTTTTAATCATGAATACAAGATAAAATTAAAGACACTTCCCAATAAAATATTTGCCAGTTACAGAGAGATATGATCACGTAACTTAAAAGTTCAAAATGGTGTTTATTTATATTTTCACAAACTCTAACACAAAATTATTATACCTTAACAAAACTCTTATTTGATGGTTAAATATGAAATTAGGCCTCATGACTCACTGTTAAACTAGGATATAGAATGTTTTAAACATTATTAGCCTTTTCATAACATTTGAGGCCTCATGATCTTTAGGAAAACAAATAGTAGCATATGTAAATGAAGAAAATTAAAGCATTTTAAAAGAGAATGAAACTTTAAATGCTTTCATAATCTGGCTGCAATGATATACTATAAATTCCCTGATAAATAAAGAGTATACTTTTACCATTCAATTCTGGACCCCACCTCCATCCCATAAAATAGCTAGATATACATTTTTGAATTTTAAAAAATGTAGGTAAGCAGAATCTGAGTCTGTGACCACAATTAAGCTCTATTCAGAAGTATAAAATAAAATTGTTCATTCACCTTAATAAAAACCTTTTCTTGTTAATTAGCAGAATGCTGATCTTTAAAACAGAGAAACCTATCAGCATCAGCAAGATATAAAACAGAGCTATACTAACAGCTGACCCCAAAGCATTTATTAATGTCTTACAAAATTATGACACAAAAATTACATGTGTATCTTCATGTTTTCTTAACATTAGAGCTTACTATTAGGAATAAATGAATGGCTAATATAGTACTCTTTAATGAAATCATCTCAAGTCTATCATATTTTTGGTGCTAGAACTAATCGGAGAAAATTTCATCCAACCTTTTGATTTTAAAGATAGAAAACCTTGGAAAAAAGTAGTTAACTTCACGTGCCCAAGAGCACACAGATAGTTGTTAGAAACATTAGAAGTCAGACATCCTTATCCATATTGTTCCAAAATTCCATCCACTACACCACACTATCATCTTGTTGAAGATTATGAGTGTGGGATACACTGTAGTCCAGGAAGTGTTTAAAAGATATGTAGAAACACCATGGTTATATTCTTTAATACCTTTGTTTCCTTATACCTCACTGCTATGACAGTGTGTTTTTTTTCCTTCTCTTCTCCCTGCCATCCCTTAGTTAAGTAAACCTGTACAGGCTATACTGTTTACATTTAAACCTATTGGTTGAGTCTTATTAAATACTATCATACTGTCTGTTTCCATTCTATTTGAAAAATTCTTAAAATCTAAATCAGTCTAGACACCTTGTAAATTGATACTTACTTTGAAAGCTATTTCTTAATCTTAAATATCTGAGTTATCTTTTTTATTATTCTCAACAGGTCTTAACAAATAGGATCACAATAATCAAATATAAAGGAGAAAGATGTCTGTTGTCACCAACTTATTGAGATATGATTCACTTTCATCAATAAAATAATCTGTCAAAATTAAAAAATTCTCAAAAAAATTATCACGGTTTACATGAAAATATAAAATTGACAGTTCTGGATTTATAACACACCCTATGCTAGGTGTGTTAATACTGATATTTACTTTCTCTTAAGGTTTCTGAGCTTTAGCCCATTTTCTGGCCTTTCTTTCAAACTTGCAGGAAGACTGTGAACGAGTCTTTCTAAGGCAGGCACTCCTTGTTTTTACAACCTGCTTGCTGTTCCGTTGCTGCTGTTTGCGCCCACGCCTAGGGTGTGTTATAATCTTTTTAAAGTCCTTACAGATGGAATCATACCTATTCTCAGGATCATTGTCGTCGTCATCATCATCCATTGTGACAGGCACTGATTTAGATAAGGCTTCATCTCCTTAAGGGAAAAAAGTGTACTTAAATTAGTTTTAAATAATCTATATAAGTAAAACCAAGTAAAATAAAACTGAAAGCCAAATACTTTAAAGCAAATTAAGTGGGTTGTAAACTCTACTCTGGAAGAAAAAACATGAGCAAAAAGATTCTTTACGAAAAACATAATGGGGAATTTACGAAGTGCCAGCAATAAGATGACAAATAGTTGGATCTTATATATTTCAAAGTGGCTTCCCCAGAGCACAAGGGTTTTAAAGCCCACCCTTCTCAATTACAATTCTATGTCAATCGCCATGACATTGGCATAAGATTCTTGCTAAAATAAACCGTGTACCATTAAACCATTTTAAGTTGAAGTTAACAGGTGTCTAATTTATCCTGTATTGCTGAAGAATAGCAAAATCGCTATTAATATTTTGGTAGTATCAAGTAATTTAAAAATGTATTTGAATTTGTATAGCACTCATGACCTGAATTACCCAGAGATACATCCAAGTATAATAAAACTTATTTTCTTATTAAAAACTACATTTCTATCCTCCGATTAAAAAATCTAAAGAAATTACTATTTGTGTATTTCATCGTACGTAAATTTCACCTCAAAAGAAAAACAAATCTGGCTGGGTGCAGTGGCTCACAGCTGTAATCCCAGCACTTTGGGAGACCAAGGTGGGAAGATCACTTGAGGCTAAGAGGGCAAGACCAGCCTGGGCAACATAGTAATATCCCGTCTCTACAAAAAATTAAAAAATTTAGACAGGCATGGTGGCACACGCCTGTAGTCCCAGCTACTCGGGAGGCCGAGGCAGGAGGATTGCTTGAGTTTGAGCTTTTAGTGAGCTATGATGACACCACTGCACTCTACCCAGGGTGACAGAGCAAGACTTTGTCTGAAAAAAAAATGCATGCTGTAGTATTTAGGGAGAAGTATGCTTATGTTTACCACTTAATTTGAAATGCATCAAAGATTTCAGGGGCATTACACTGACCAAAAAAAGCCAACCTCATAATGTTGTGTATTTCATAGTTCCATCTCAAAGTAACAAAATTATAGAGATGAAGAACAGATTACTAGTTGCCAGGGTTAGGGATGGAGGTAAAGAGAGGGGTATCTATAAAGCATAAGGGAGCCTTGTGATAAAATGGAAAAGTTTGGTGTCTTGGTTGTGGTGGTTATATAAAGCTACACACGTGGTACGACTGCACAGAGGTATACACACAGATGCACAACCACACACACACACACAAATGAGTGTGTGTGAAACTGGTGAAACTGAATAAATCTTCAGTTTCTTAGTTCTGACACTGTACTATAGTTATACAAGTTATTACCACTAAGGGAAACTGAGTGAAGTATATGAGACGTTCTTGTAATTTCTTTTTTTGCAAATTCCTATGGATTTATAATTATTTCAAAATAAAGTTAAAAAGGCAAAAAAGTTAAATACATTGATACATACATAAAAGGATATATAGATATGTGATCAAGCAAATATAGTACAATGGTAATGGTAGAAACTTTTGTGTATATTTAAATGTTTTCCGTAATAAAATGTTGGAGGGAAATATTGGAGGAAAAAATCTATAAAGAACAAAGACATCTATGGGCTCAGGATACAAATGTGCTAAATATAGAAAGGCAAAAATAAATCTCAAAATACCCCAGCAAACTCACAATAAATACCTCATTCAAACAGAATGATCTTCAAATGAAATATCACTAGAAATACTACTGTCATTCCCTATTTGCTACACCTTTCAAAATTTAACCTATCCTTAGAAAGTTCAAATACTTCCTGTTCTTTTAAGTCTCCCCTCAAATATTTAAGTAGCTCACTTGCCATTTATTGCATAGTCCCACTATAGTTTTATCTTTCTTCTGGTATCTTTTTTTTAAAATTACTGATCCCTGACTGTTTTGCATTAGACGGCAATCTCCTAGGACCATCTTGGTTGCCCATACCATTCCACAACTCCAATTTCTAGGAAAATATTGTACCTATAACAGGATACCCAAATATTGCTGAATAAATTGGAATCCTCTAAACTCATTGTAGGGGTTGGGAGAGGCTTTTTTAAAGCTCCTAAAATTGTCACCTAAAATTAAGTTAGTTATGTTAGAGGAATATATGAATTCAGCATGCTCATACAAACACGCAAGTAAATTCTTAAGGAATGTCACTTATCATTAGCTCACACCCAAATTTGTCTTCAAAAACAGTACTTTTTTACATAGTGCTCATTTTCAAGGCCTTTCATGTTCTATTCTGCTTAAGTGTTTCCACGGACAAAGCCTGACATTTGATGGGTTAAATTCCCCAGCAAATTTATCTTCTTTTTTTTATTCAAAGTAATCAGCTTAGTCCCAAGAAATATGCAATCAAACAGCTGAAGGATTGACAACTGCCAAAGTGATGGATTCTCAGGTTTTCTCAAGATAATATACCCAAGAAAAAGTTTACCTCCCAGTGAGCCCACTGGTCCTTCAGATCAAAGTCAAGTTGAATAAATCAAAACCTAGACCAGTGCTGAGTAAGGAATTATCAGGAGGTGCATCATTAGAGTATTTGCCATATGTTACCATCTCTTCTTAAGGTCTAATGAATGCATATTATTTATTACACTAAGTATTAAGAATTCCAAACATGAGAGATATATAATAGAAACTTTCATATGTGTCAAATTGAGTGAGATTTTGGGAAATGAAAAGTAGTAAAATATTTGAAATCAAACATATTGATTTCACCAGGGAAGCTATTTAATCACAGAAACCAATTTTCCAAAATTTAAGATTAGTTCAATAGCCTATAATTTGCTAACGGGAATACTCCACATAACTAATCACAATTTATTATTCTTAGACTCTAATCCTTAATAAGGGTTTTCTCACCTAATCTGGTAACACATTGATTTGACATCGAAATAACTATTAGATTCTATGTATTTACTACAAGTCCACAATCCCTTATATGTAATTCTGGAATCCAAAATGCTGTCAAAACTGAGTTTTACAAGGTGGTGCCAAGGATCATTTGGCAGTAAAATATGATCTGAACTGTTTATTCCTCTAACTGTGAATGCTCAAATGTTTTGCTGCAGAAATACTATATATTTGATTATGTGGTACTACATCAGACACTACTGAGGCTTTTATAAAATATATGGTAACTGCTCTATATTACCTTTCTAAAAGCCAAAAAGTTGTAAATTCTGAAACACACTGGACTCCCAAGAATTTCAGGCAAGGGACTATGAACTGGTAATTTCAATAACCGTACAAACACAAGTCCATCTAGGCATCTGATATACTAGAGCATTAAATTGAAGCACACACCATGCATCTCACACTTGGTTTTCAAATCAAGTCATTAGGTAAATGCTCCATAAAAGAAATTTTAAGTAAAAACAAAGATTCATGTTAATTCCATTAAAATCCAATGTGGATAAGAGGAAAACTCTAACACAAGGAATGAGAGGAAAATTTTTTTAAATTCTACCCATGTTGGGAATACAGTTTTATGTGAAACTCACTTTATAAAAATATTTTTTTGGCCGGGTGCGGTGGCTCACTCCTGTAATCCTAGCACTGTGGGAGGCCGAGGCGGGTGGATCGCTCAAGGTCAGGAGTTCAAGACCAGCCTGAGCAAGAGCGAGACCCCCGTCTCTACTAAAAATAGAAAGAAATTATCTGGACAACTAAATATATACATATATATAGAAAAAATTAGCCGGACATGGTGGCACATGCCTGTAGTCCCAGCCCCTCGGGAGGCTGAGGCAGTAGGATCGCTTGAGCCCAGGAGTTTGAGGTTGCTGTGAGCTAGGCTGATGCCATGGCACTCTAGCCCAGGCAACACAGTGAGACTCTGTCTCAAAAAATATATATATTTTTTTAATTCTACGTGTCCTTAGTTAATTGACAGGTCTTACTGACTTAAAAAAAAAAAGGCAAGTGCACAATACAAGTGATCAGTGCACATTTATTTTAAAAGAACTTTAATAATGATAAAAAAAATTTTTAATTATTTTTCTTGGCATCATTCTCCAGTTGACCCACACCCTAATGTTCCTAGTGCTCTATCTCATTAGGTTGGGGTGATCCACCTACTTTTTGGATTTTCTTTCTTCTTTTATTTTGATGGTCTTTTTAAAAGAGAAACATTTGTTCATGTCATTAGAAACTAGTTAATGAGCATCAGCAAAGGGTTTCAATGAAGTAAATTTAAATTGTTTCAGGGGATTTCATGAGACACAAAGTTATCTGTTCTAATTTAAAAAGCCGTATGCATGGCAAAGCAGTTAAAACTTTCACACACCATAGCATGCTAATACCAAGCACTCATTTCCATCACACGAAATAAATATATACTGAATTACCAGCACCAGTCTGATTTTCCTTCGTAAACTATTGCTCATTACTCCAGATAAAAGCATTAAACACTGATAAAGAAATTTTGTTATTTACCCAACACATTTGGGATCCCTTAATCAGAATACTAGCAATGTTTGAAATAACTCCCAATAATGGCATAAAAATAAATGGAAGAAGGCTTTGTAGTAAATTTTTAACTAATTTTTAAATGGTATTTTCCTAAGCAGTAACCCTGAATTAGAATGGTTTCAGGAAAAATTAAACAACATAGTGATTCAAGGGGGGGGAGTACAAATTGTAAATTTTTTATTTATTTATGCATACCTGAAGACTGGCAAAATCCAATATGTGAAGATAGCACTAAATTTTCAGTCACAGGCTTAATTTTCTGTTCATCACTGCTCCCCTCGCCGAAAGAATTCTGATCATCATCTCCTATATCAGAAGATGAGGAAGTAATGTCTGCTTGCTTCCTTTTAGTGCTTGTTCTTAGGGAGTTTCTCTTTTTCTCCTTGACATTGACTGGCTTCTTTTTAGCTGAAGTTCTTTGTTTCTTCTTTTTATTATTATCTTCAGAACTTTCCTCAGCATCAGAAGATGATGAGCCACTTTGTATTTCCTTGGTATTTCTCTTTGAATTTAAATTTCTTCTTTCCCTCAATTCTATTCTTTTCAGTCTCTTATCAGAAGAGTCACAGCCATCTTCTTTCATGGAGTATTTCTCAGTATCAGATGATGAACAATCTTGTCTTTTCCTAGAACTCTTTCCAGGCAAGCTGCATCTTTTCTTCTCTCTACCAGATGCTCCATTCTTATTCTTTTTATCTTCTGAAGACTCACAACTATCCCCTTTTCCTGGTAACTTCTCAGCATTATCAGATAATTCATCCTTCTTTTTAGAAGATTTATGTCTTATTTTTTTACTTTTCTTTTCCCCATCAGTTGTATCATTCTTATTTTGTTTTATGCACTTAGGAAAATGACAAATTTCTTGTCCCTCAGGTAACTTCTCAGTGCCATCAGATGATGATTCATATTGTTGTTCCATCTTAATTACTTTTTTCTTCAAGCCTGGAGTTTTCTTTTCTTTTTCTTGAGTTCCCTTCTTGCTTAGCTTTTTATCGTCTTCAGAAGATTCATCACTCTGCTCTTTCTTTGAGCATTTCTCAGCAACATCAGATAATCCACCCTGTACTTTTTTACACATTTTGGTTTTCAGATGCTTGTTTTTTTCTTTAGTCTCAGCAACCTTTTTGACTTTTGAAAAATTAAAACTCTCCTCTTTCCCAGAAGGCTTATCAGCACCAACACAGGAAACACTTGGCTGCTGTTGCTTAGAAAGTCGATCTCTTAATTCCATCATAGTCTTGTCTTTATCAACTGTGCCTTCTGAAGAGAAATTCTCTCTCTCTTGTTTCCTTTCAGCATCATCAGATGATCCTTCTTGTGCAGTCTTCAAACTTTTCTGCCCTTGATTACCCATTGCTTTTTTGCTGTGTTTTTCATCTTCAGAAGAATCATAGTCTTTCTTGTTTGGAACTCTTTTTTTGGTTGCTCTGGCAGCCCCAATTTTACTCATGCTCTTTATCTCTTTTTCTAATTCTGAGTCGTAATTAGAAGATTCAGACAGGTTTTGTCGTTTCTTTTTAGAAATTATAGAGCTTTTAGCTGATTTGCCTTTTTTAATATCAAAATCTGAGCCAGAAGTAGAACTTTTTCGTTTCCTTTTTCCTTTATCATCTTTCCCTGTTTGAGTCTTTAAATCATAAAAAGTCTTATGATTTGTATGAATTTCATTAATATCAGTATCTGAAGAAGAACTGTGATTTATCCTGCTTACCTCTTTGAGGATTGCTAACATTTCATCAGAATCTGAATTTTGATCCACAATCTCTGACTGCTTAGATTTAGGCAATTTATTAGGCTTAGGATTATCTATAGCCCTGTCAGAAGAATTCCGCTTATCCTTTTTTCTCATTGGAACTGATAGTTTTTGTTTCTCCTTAACTGTTTCATTACTCTCTTCATCTGAATTAGATGTTGTAGGGTTGGTTTCTGTTTGTCGCCTCAAGGGTGTAGTCTTTACACGTGGGGATCTTCGAAGATCGGATTCTTCTAAAACTAATGGAACTTCAGTTTCAACCAAATGTTCATTATCACTGTTTCCCTGTCCATGTTCACATTTCTCTGACTTGGAGTTTAGACCAGAACTTTTATAACCATCTTTATCTTGTAGAACGTCCTGACAATCAGCACCTTTCATTGGGGAATTAGAAAGGGAGACAGGGGTGAGTTTAACATATAATTCTTTTGTTACTTTAGCTGTAGTTTTTGATTTAATACTTCCTCTGTTATCTTTTGAAGGAGTATTTAATTTTACAGATGAACTTTCTAGTTCTTGCTCAGCTCCACTGTTACCATCCCCCTGATAATCAGCTGAACTCTGAACTTCCATAGCAGTCTCAAGATTCTCAAAAATGTCTTCTGGAACTGAGGAAGGAACAGACACAATATCCATGTCTAAGTCTTCAGAAGTGTTAGCAGGTTCATACTGAGGTTCTTCCTTTCTATCAGATTTCTTATGTTCACCACTGGTACTTTTATTTGCTCTTTGCTCCTCTGTTGGAACATTCTGATCTGTGTGCTCACTATCTACCTGTTTTCTTGACAGTTTAGCTTCTGACTTTGAAATATCCTTCCTTTCCAAAGCACAGGGTTTTTCTCCTTTTCGTACTTTTGTTTCAGACTTAGCATCTATGACTTTATGCTCTTTGGTATTTTTCTCTTTGTTTATAGCATCCAAAGCTCGAATCTCTGAATTCAAATCTTCTTCTAATGCAAGATGAGCCTTCTTGATATCAGCCAACACGGATTTAAAAGCCTTAAGCTGACGTAACTTTGTAGCAGAATTGATTTCTGAATTATCTGTTGTCTGCTTTAAAAATTTAACATAACTAGAGTTCATGTTGGCTGTGGTCTCAATCAGTTTTTTTGCCTTCTTAATCATCTCTTTGGGCACAATTAGTGCTGAGTAAGAGTAGGTTACAGAACCAGAACATGAAACATCTAATTTCTTTTCTTCTCCATTACAATTTGAACTATTCTTCTTTGGAGAAAATCTGGATGTATGGTCATATACTTTATTACTCTTTTCATTGTCAACTTTTATCTTCTTCTTATTTTGTTGCAACAATTGTTCTAAATTCTCAAATACGCTGTTACATGCAGTGACCAAGTCCAACAAAGGCTCCGGGTGACAAATGTAGCAATACCATTGGTTGTTTTCATCCATTATCGTAGACAGTTCCTTTCGACCAAGGTTGCGTAGAATACATTTCTTGCAGAAAGCATTATGGCAAAAGTCACAACAAATCAAGTTTCCACCTTCTGCACACCATCTGAAATGTTTTAAAGATTAAAATATTATTCCCTTTTTCAGTAAAAGGCCAGATTAAAAAAATATTATTCTCAATAAAACTTATTTTAATTTCTTCATTACTAAAGTAATTTCAATTTTCCTGGCCAGGCGCGGTGGCTCTCGCCTGTAATCCTAGCACTCTGGGAGGCCCAGGCAGGAGTACTGCTTGAGGTCAGGAGTTCGAGACCAGCCTGAGCAAAAGTGAGACCCCGTCTCTACTAAAAATAGAAAAACTTAGCCAGGTGTGGTGGCATGTGCCTGTAGTTCCAGCTGCTCGGGAGGCTGAGGCAAGAGAATCGCTTGTTGCTGTGAGCTGGGCTGATGCCACAGCACTCTAGCCCGGGCAACAGAGTGAGACTCTGTCTCAAAAAATAAATAAATAAATAAATAAATAAATAATTTCCTGTCAGCAATTTTAGTAGTAATTTAGGTCACCTGGCTATTCTTTATCAGAATCTTAAACTAGGCGTAAACCCTAAAGCTTTGTGGAACAAAACAACTTTCCATTGAAGACATCAATGACGATACTACGAAAGATGGCTCTAATAAAAGACTATGTAAGAATTCTCCCAAAAAGTAGACAACACTGAATTTTAGATCATCTTGATTTATTACGTACCTACATTGTTCATCCATTCCATCTGAGTCACGACTAATGTCATCACTCATGTAATACTTAAAGCAATTCTATTAAAAGAAAAGGGGAAGGAGAAATTTTATTAAAATTGGTAAAATCATAAAGAATAAAAACTTTATTTCTGTAATTCATTAAAAAAGTGAAGGGAATGTGTGTGTTTGTGTGTGTGTTTTAGAGACTCAAAGCAAAAGCAATATGCTACCCAATACTAGTATTTTCCAGACATCAAAATATTTCAAGAATTAATTCTTTGAAATAATTTTCCATACAATCCAGTACGATTATTCTTTATATAATAGATGTTAGTAAAGCAAATTTTTGGTCTCATACAACTAGCTACTAAAGCTCTACATAAAAATGTATTAGATGTTGGTACTTAATAATTTTAATAGCCACCATATATATACAGCCACTATGTATACAGCTAAACAACTAACCTACATTATCTGCAATCTCCTAATACGTACCATGTAAGGTAGGAAGTATTATGAGAGAAAAGGCTATGGTTCATTAATATGTAAATAAATCTCATATCATATAACTAGTAAGAGGCAAAGCTGTTAGTCAAATTCAAATCCATGTTTGACTGACTTCAAATTGCTTTCCAGTCGGACTATAGAAAGGGAAGGGTCTGTGCTCACTGATAAAACTATTGATTACTAAAATATCCTAGGCTCAACAGACCGGTCATTGAAAAAAGTGATCATATGTAAGAAAAGAAAATGGAAACTGATGTTACAAATCCAGCAATACAAGATTCTGCTGTTACAATTTAAAACTAGACACTATAACATGTACGCTAGATAGGCCCCCAGCTGCACTGAATTTAAGGCAAGGAGGGACACAAACTGCTTAAGAACAAAGTTATGTTTAATACATTTAAGCAAGTCTGAATCTATCAAAAATTCGTGCAAGAAACTATCTAGGCTAGGTGTGGTGGCTTACACCTGTAATCCTAGTATTTGGGGAGGCTGAGGTGAGAGGATCATTTGAGGCCAGGAGTTTGAGACCAGCCTGAGCAACAGAGCAAGATCCCATCTCTGAAAAAAAAAAATTTTAAATTAGCCAGGCATGATGACATGCGCCTGTAGTCCCAGCTACTTGGGAGGCTAAGGCAGGAAGATTGCCTGAGCCCAGGAGTCTGAGGTTGTGGTGAGCTATGATGATGCCACTGCACTCTAGCCTGGGCACAGAGCAAGACCCTGTCTCAAAAAAAAAAGAAAAAGGAAAGGAAAGAAAGGGAAGGAAGGGAGGAAGGGATGGAAGAAAGGAAAGAGAGGAAAGAGAATAGAAGAGAAGAGAAGAGAAGAGAAGAGAAGAGAAGAGAAGAGAAGAGAAGAGAAGAGAAGAGGAGAGAAGAGGAGAAAAGAAAAGAAAGCTAGAACTCCAAGGAAACCATGGCCTGATCCTGCATTTCAAAGGCAGCTTTTTATTGGGAAACAAACTAACACAGGATTAATCTTAGCAGTGACATGAGTTGAGGAAACCATAACCTTGATACTATAGATATTTAAAATTAACTCCAAGGTATTACTCATAAAAAAGTATACACAGACTATCAAAACTATAATCAACACATACAAAACATTTTTAATTGTATTATCTCCAAATTATGTCAGAATCCTGCTCCACATTGAGAGCTTAGATTTGGTGAAGTAGTGTATATAAGAGGGAAGGTTATAAAACACACAGATGCAACACACATATACTCTTCAGGTTTTCAAACACACCAGGCTCTCCCTCAACTACCAGCAGTTGAATACCATGTTACCTCTGCCTAGAACACGCTGAACCAATTCCACTTACCAGGCTAATTTGTATTCATATTTCAGATATCAGCTATATCATCTCCACCGGAAAGCCACCTAACCCAAGTCCTATTTACACCGGCTTCCTATGTGCTCCCATAATCATAGTACCCCCTATCGCGGCATGGCACATATCAGGCTTTGTATATGGCTATCTTCCCCACTTTAATGAAAGCCCTCCAAGGGCAGAGACCGTTTTCATCTTTCTTCATGATTGTGCCCCCAGAGGTCTGGTACATGGTATGCATTCAAATATTTGTGGTATGAATTATCAACAAATCATTACATACCTTACAAATAAGGACTTGTAGTGAAGGGTGTCTATAAATGGAATCTTTTTGAAAATGATTGACTTGTTGTCCACAAGCTGTGCAGCTCACAATTCCATGAAGCCCATCTTCTAGGAGAGAGGAGTTACCATTATTCACATATTTACACACACAGAGAAAAAGGTATTTACTTTAGTCAGCATTTTGTAACTTGTATTAGAAATGAAATCTCATAATTCTTGGGAAAATGACATTTTGGACACAAGTTTAAAAAGTTAATAATTTTATTGACTTACTAAAAACATGACAGCCTTGGCAAATTCCAAGCTACAAATCCTAACTTAATTCTTTTTACAGATGTAAACCCCATTTCTTACAACTTGATATAATATGAAGAGACTCCATAAAGTTCTAAAAATAAAGAGTAAGAGCTCTTTTTCATTTTGCTATTGCTCTGCAAATAAATTCAGTATCATTTCTTAAAGAATGGGGAAGTAAGTGACATACATGGAAGAGATCCTTTTGCAGCCCTATACTTAAGTTAGGCATGCCACAAAGGTCTCAAAGTGGAACTGTCTGCACAGAGGCGCAGGTCCTACAGCAGGTAAAAAGTTGGTAATTTTATGATATTACCAATTTCCTTCCTAATATTTACTTCAAAACTAGCCATGATCCCCATTAACCTGCCTTCTTTCTATGTCTACTCCACTGTCCACTCTATATCAATACTGTCTGCTATTTCCAAATAAGGCATTGCACGTCTACCTATATTGGCAGCAAAACATCAGAACGGCTGGGGGTAAAAGGCAGAGCCACATTCTGTACTGTCTGCAGAAAAACAGACTGAAGACAATCTATGTATAAAAGACTTAAGAGGAAACCTCTTCTGCCTCACTCTTGTCCCTAGTTCTGCTAAGGTAGTGTTTCATAACCTGAGCTGAATATTGGAATCATCTGAACAATCTTTTAAAAAACACAGACAGCCATTCTCACACCTAAACCACTGAACTGAAATCTCTCAGACTTTTTTTTGAAGTTTTACAGATGATCCTGATGTGCAACCAAGACCTTAATCCAAATAAGATGGTAGATTATGATTCAAAAGCAGCCAGTGAAGATGCGTACATTCACAAATAAAAACGAGATGACTAAAAAGAAACAAACTCTTCTTCTATCCCCAAATAAAAGACAAAACACCAAATACATTTCTCACCTTTTAATTTTCTATTTTGTGTTTTTGTTAGTCTTAAGGTCCAAAGCACCATGGACCCAAACATTATCGCAAATATTTTTATTTGCATAAGCTAAAAATTATAACATATAAGGATACCATCATACTTTTTCAGAAGATAACAGAGAATTTGAAGGTTTACTATACATGTTGCCAGTATTTTGTTTTACATCACATTGTTCTGTGTTTGATCTTAGGTATTCCTATATTCTGTATTTGTTTTAACAGTAACAAATACACAGTGTACTTTTTCATTTCAAATAATAATTTCATTCAGATAAACAAGATAAATAAAAGGTAGAGTCTGAATGTTCATCCAATGTTAAATAATATTTATTAAGCATCTTCTATGTGCTTTTGTGCACGTATCACTCAAGAATTAAAACTAGGTGATCCTTTGGAGTATTTCTCCCACATGTGCACAATGAATCACATATGAGGATATTTGTTGCAGCAGTAATTAAAAAATTAGAAAAATTAGAAAATAAAAAATTAGAAATAACTTCATATTTGAAATAGATAAACAGTGGTTTATTCATACAACAGAATTCTATAGAGCAGTAAAAAATAAACAGTACATTTATCGACATGGATACATTTCAAAAACAATGTTGAATGAGGAATGTTCTCAAAGACTATATATAGCATACTATTTTGTACATTTTTAAAATGAAAATAAATGTTTAATGAATACATTATATAGAAAATACAGAAAAACATGCATACACATGCACATGCATAAAACTTTAAGACAATCATTACCTGTGGGGTGGGAAGAAGGGGAAATGGATGAGAGTAGGAATGAACCAATATTTTATTTAAGTGAGAGCTGAAGCAAATATGGTAAAATGTTGAAATGTTACTTTATGTACTAGTTTCCGTACATGTATGTTTTAATTTTATTTTTAGTTATGAGATATCTATAAGATTTTAACAGAGTGTGTACATGGAAAAGAGGCATTTTCATTTCTGAGCTTACTACATTGTAATGGTTTTAAAGAGAGAACAAAATTATTCTGTCATGTAGAAAAGTTAGGTGTAAAATATATTTTCTAACAATTAAACTAGGGAAAGCATGTCAAAACAGGCTATGATATTTTTTAAAAGAATAGTGGTTCCTAAAATGGTCATTTTAGCTATGTCTCTGTTCTGTAATTTTGTTTCACATCAACATAAGATTTTTCTTTTTTTTTTTTTTTTTTTGAGACAGAGTCTAACACTGTCACCCAGGCTGGAGTGCAGTGACACAATCACAGCTCACTGCAACCTCAAACTCCTGGGCTCAAGTGATCCTCCTGCCTCAGTCTCCTGAGTAGCTGGGACTACAAGCACATGCCAACATGCCCACCTAATTTTTTCACATTTTGTAGAGACAGAATCTCACTACATTGCCAGGCTGGTCTCAAACTCCTGGCCTCAAGCAATTCTCCTACCTTGGCCTCCCAAAGTGCTGGGATTATAGGCATGACCCATTGCACCCAGCCAATATAAGATTTTTTAATAGTTTACATTCTTGACAGTTTCCTAAATTAGGCTTCAATTTTGGAACTAATTTTCCCAAAGAGTTTGAATATTCACTACAGCAATTCAGTACGTCAGATCACTAGTTTATTCATACATGTGTATATAAGTAATCCTTGAAGTAAATTTACTACGTGATTTCTGACAGCTTAAAGATATAGCGAATCATTAAGGAAAAAATCAACACAAAAGATTTAAGTGCTATTATATGCCTATAAACACACATATTACATAAACATTCTTACACACTCAATAAAATGTTCCAGAAACATCAGCTGAGACCAAATACCAGCAGCATACCAAAGTGGCACTAGGAATACCCTCCCCAACAATAGTGGTTCTTCTTTTATTTTCCTTTCAGCCCCTACCCACACTTCAAACATTGACTGCTCCAGAGTTCCTTCCCAAAAGACACCATAGACATTAATTTTAATATAACGCAGCACACTTAGTTGTCTGTCTTCACTAGAGGACTCATGATCAGAGGAAAGATCACTAGTTGCTACTCATCCTTACCATCACCTTCTACTTGCTGATTCTCTTAAGTCTTAAGAATACTACCCCAGTTTTGATGAGCTCTGGTGCTGCAATGGCAGTTTCCCTACTATGAACTAGATTCTCAAAAACTCTTCCTTATGCTTAAAAGGGGTTGATCACCCCCTTGTGGACAAAAGACTAAACAACATTTCCTTGATTTTTGCCAATAACTTAATAAATTATTTAATCTAAAACCTGGCATGTATAATATTTTATAGGCACAGATATATTTTATTAGTTCCATCAAGATAATCACAGCATTGAAATAAAAATCTACATAAAATTTCACCAATGTAAGAACTTCACTATAATTTCACAATTATATAACATGATCAATATTAAATGGACACACTTTCATCACAATTCTATTTAGAAATTTAGTGTCATGTTCTATCTTTTGGAAATTCATTCCTTTCATAGTTAAGAATTCTAGCTCTACTAATCTACCCAAAAAGTATACAACAGGCACTATTTAAAAATCACACAAACAAGTGGGACACATATATATTTCACTGTCACAAATTTCTGAATGAATCCTGCTCATGCAAACTTTCCTTAGAGGGTAGCCAATATGTTTGTGTGCTTAAGTGAGGGTAGACACAAAGAAAGAGGTGGCTCAGACAGATGGAGGGAGAATTATTAGCTCTAGCTCCCTTCTCCTTCCTACTCAACTCCACATTACTATCCTTAGATCAAAGGATCTGAAACTTTAGTGTACATAACAAATTGGGGCACATTCTTGACCTCACCACCAGAAATTCTAATTTGTTAGGAATAAAGTCAAGGGACTTGCATAAAAATAAGTATCCCAGGTAACCTTAATGCAGATGTCCATCGCTCTATGTAATAATGTTCTAAATATGTATAAAGTTACCTGGAGGCCACAGATAAGATTTTGCACAAATCTGAAATTCTTTCAGGGTGAGGGAAGACACATGGTATTCTGGCATACAGGTTTTACAGAAGTAACATGTGGAAGAAGGAAATGTTAAGCTTCTTGAAATAACTTAATAGCCACTGAAGGCAAAGGTATTTTGATACATGGTGTTTATCCTTTTCTGCTTCAGAGCTCAGAGAGAAACAGAAGTTATTTTTAAGTAGTGCTTTTAATAAACAATGGGCAGAAAAGTGGAGGTATTTTTAGTAAGCACATCAGATTTTCCAATATGGTCATAAACAGCAATTTAAACTCATGTTTCATTTTCACTTGTATTTACCTCCGCGTTTTTTGAGATTTTCAGTTTTCATTTTACTTCTGCTTCTAAATTCAGGCCCTTTAAAATCATCTTTGTCTTCATTCAGCACTGGCTCTGGTTGTACAATCACTGTACCTAGAATGATTTCATTTAAAAAACCATTACACATATTAAATGTGCAAGTGAAGTACAAGACTTCAGATAACATAGTTTGTTTCTTTCAAGCTTTCAATATTTGTATAAGGACCTCACAAGAGTAAATAAAACAGGGAAATAGTAAAAGGGCCAGGTGTCAACAATCAGATTACTTGTTGGAATATAGTTCATAAAAATAGGAGGGGAAGGTATTATGAACTGATCATAACAGAAATGTGTGAATCAAATAGAAAGCCTCAGCCCAGTTCTGAATTTTATAGTGTTTATCACAAAAGCTATTATGAATATGAATATCTGTGCTAAGCTCCATAAAGAGCTTATAAAATAAGTGGTCCAGAGGGAAAAATTTTTAAGAGACATCCTATTCTTCTCATAATTCGAATCATAAACTGAGAAAAAAGATTTTTAAGTGTTGTTTTATATTACGGGAGGGATGTATTACAGGGAAACAATGAAGTTCATTCTCCTATTGCTATACCTATTCTGCACCATTTCCCAACGGGTATGTCAAAGCTTCATTACCCTGAAAAGTCCTTAAAGAGTATTAACAGAAGATTACTTTAAGAAACTTAAGCTGAAGTGCTCTAACAATAAATTGTACCAAGAGATCATCTGTTGATCCCTATGGAAATATTTTAGAAAGAATGTCCTTTCTTAAGTAAAAACATGTGAACTGAGGAGAGAAGTTGTTGATTTAAGTTTTCATTCGTTCTGTCAAGAGCAAATAAAACAGGCATAATAAAAAGGGTCCAGGTCTCAATGTTTACCTACATTGTTGGGCTTAGTAATTAGCCATTACTCGCAATACTTAAGAAAGTAAAGCAGGTAGTTGCCAGGGGCTCTTTCTGATACCTGGGACTGACTGTGTTATTCGACAAGCAGATTTTGACAAGTTATATCATTTAGTTGTTAAATGAATTTCTGAGTTTCGGAAAAAGGGGGGAAGAGGATACAGATGATTGAAATTTTATAGACTGTGGTAAATTTAAATAATCCCCACAAAAAAAGTTATTCACAATAATCATTTCACGTATATACTCTCAGAGAAGCCCCAGCATTTGAAAAGAGCTAAAGATATAAAATTAACAAAAAAAATAATGTAATTATTCTGGAAGATTCTTCTCTAAATGGAAGCAAAGCAGTAGAGTGGAAAGAGCACTCACTAGCTTTGGATTCAGGTAGACCTGGGCTGAAATCATAGCTTCTCATTTTAAAGTTGAAAAAGTTCCTTGAGCTCTGAATTTGTTCCTTCATCTCTACAAGCAGAAACAATAACTACCTTACAGCACTGTTTTGAGGATTAAAGGAGTTAATTCCATAGGAGTTTGATATCTATACATACTCAATATAGTATTATAACAATAATAACCACTCAGATTTAACCTTATGAAATGGTTCTATTTTTGTTTTGGTGTGACAGAATTAATAAGTATAGTTCAGGTTAGTAACACTGTATACTGACTTTCTTCCACAGTACTATTAAAAGAAAGATTTGAATTCCTAGTTCTTTCATCATAAACACTCCCAGTGACAACCACTGAGAATGTAAAAAGCCAAAATGAGTCACTGCCTATAAGACTTAGACAATCAAGTTAGTTGTTTCTGCCCTCGGCCACCAAAACCATTACATAAAGTTGTCATAGATGATTTCCAAAGCCAAGTAAATGGTAGGCCCTTCAATTTTCCTTCCATCTCTCTTATTTCATTCATTTCCCTTCCTCATTTCATTTCTCACCTCTGGTAACTCCTAAATTATCCTAGTCAAGCAAAGGCCCATCCCTCCTACCCATCATATTTTTAAAACTTCCATCATTTAAAAATGTCACAAAAACATAAATACTGTTGGAAAGGGCTTAATAAACTCTGCTGCAGAAGATCTGACTGTGAGAACAAATTCTAAAAATCTTCTAAGAAACTAGAACATATTTATTTAACAAAGAAAAAAATCTAAAATATTGACTCTTTGAAACACTGTGAAATTACCAAGTCCCTTGTCATTCTCTCATCATCCAATCATATAGCTCTCAGACTTAGGCTATGAAGAGTCCAAGATTTTCATTTGATTTTTCCCCCAATCTAATTAATGAGGTTGTATGGTTAGAACTGAGAGCAATGTGACAAGGTTTCTTAAAGAGGTAATAGCAAAAAATACACCTAAATCTATCTATGATAGTTAACTTCGGCTTTCAGCCTTAGGGAATTTAAGAATGCAGCAAGACTAAACTAGATTGTAAAATTTTTTTAAGTTTTCAGGAATAGTCATTGCATCTATATATAAAGCAAGCACATTGACATTTACTGAACATAACATATAAAACTTTTAAACCTATGTTCAAGTATAATTTGGAAACAAAAACTCCTTTTCTAAAATGCAATAGAAAGAAAAAATAAATTGTGTTCTTTTCAAAGCTAACTGAATATTCCAAATTTTTAATCTCAATAACACAAGTTATCATTACCATACTAGTACATTTCCAGACCACCACTAGTAAAATGCCCAGTTTGGTCTTTTACACACAGCTAACAGTAATCAAGTTCCAATTTTATATTAGTGATATTTAAAAACACATTTCAACTTTAACTTCCTATGAAAAATTAACACACATTACCTTTTGGCAAGCTTTGCATAGTAATATCATTTTCTGAATTTTCATTAGAAGCATCTTCATTTACAGTTTCATCCAAAGGTTTTTCATCATCGGATTCTACATACTTTGTTACAATTGAAGGCTTCCTATGAAAGAATTAAGTCCATAGAATTAAGGACATTTGTGACAATTGGAACAACACCCGAAGAACATAAATGTTTAGATTGAGCAGCACCTCTCAACCAGGATGCACATCAGAATCACTTAGGGAAGCATACATGTCTATGCCAAATCACTGAAGATTATGATTCAGTAGTTCTGGGGTAGGACCAGGACATGTGCACTCTGAAAAGGCTACCCAGGGGGATCTTGAAGGGCACTCTTTAAAAATCACTACTGTAGAGAATAAATTAATAACAAGCAAGCTGTGTTTATTAAGGCATTCCCTCTGGTTAGAAACAACAAAAGTCCAATAGACTAAGCAGCAAACTTCAAGTAAGAATTATACTCCATAGCATTTGGGGCATTATAGTATGCTTGGAAGTAGTTTTGGTCCTTATGTATGATTTGCTTTGACAATTTAGCACAAAAAGGTATTTCTACCATTCTTTGATCTCCTTATAAGTTACGATTATGAAGACTATCTAACTCCCCTTCCTCGACAATTTCATATAACTTTAAAAAGCACACATTGCTTCATGAGGCATTCAATATTTATTTCTCCTTTTCTCCTTTTTTAAGCACATAAATTACTTGAAGAAATGAACTACATATTTCAAGGGCCACTAATAATAAATCCTTCTAAAAATTCCTTTAAAATACAAAGTTGGAATGAATTAATAATTGTTGAAACTAGGTTATAGATACAAAGAAATTCATTATATTATACCACTCATTTTTAAATATGTATATTTGTATAAAACAGTTTACTTAGAACAGTAGTGCTTGAAGTTCAGGAAAAAAATATTTTTTCTGAAAACGTAAAATTTTTTCTGAATCATAAAATAACCTGAAAAAGAAAATCACTTTTTATCCTTTCAACATCAACCAACCTCTTTGATCGTGACGATCCTGAAGATTTGAATTTTTCTGAAGAGCTAGTTCCCTAAATGTGAGACATAAATACAAAGGTGAGTAAATTCTCAAAGCAACATCCATTCCTACAATTAACTATCTCCCTATAGCAAGATCTTTGATACAGTGATATAATGAGATACTATTTACATGCACAGAATATTTTTCTAAAAGGAAACTCAAAACTAATTCTCATTTACTGTCAGGTTTCCTTTACTGAAGATTAAATTTCTATCTTTCTAAATGGTTGCTGTTGCATGCTTGGGGGGCAGGGAAGAGGCACACAGCTGTATCATGACCCTGGTCTCAGTCAACAAAGACAAAACAAAGGTGCAGAAGTAATCAGATCTCAACAGAGATAGGGAATTTTAAGGATCTAAAAATATGTCATTCTTCTCTATGCTAATATATGGCATGGAATAACTTCTACAATTTGCTTTTAAATACTAAATTTACCCTCATTTTGCCAGTATAATCAATATATTATCTTGGGTTCAATTTTTCACCCTAGGTGGAAGAAATCCCCAAACCATAGTTGTAGACCTGTATATCAAGTGAAAGACCTCAGCATGAGTTGCCATAATAATGCTTAGGAGACTCTGAATACCAAGTTTTGAGAGATCTAAGAACAATGGACTCATGCCCATAACATCCACCTCAAAACCACTGGTGCAATGTAATGACAGTTAATTAAATACCTGTCTGTTAGCAAGCCTTCAGTTGTCTGACTTTAGGTAAACTACAGTGAACCACAAAAATAACAGAAAAAATGAACATCTTATTGAACTGGAAAACCACCAAACTGAAGGATCATAATGACAACTAGGTATAACAATAGCCTTAAACACATGCATGTATTAACTAGAAGCAATCTAATGACACATACTCTAGTTGATTATTAGCAGTTAATAAACATCTTTAAAATGCTTCCAAATTATTCTTACCTCCTCCTTATTGTTTTCCATCATATCGGAGTTATTTCCAGAACTACTGATTTTATCTAAAAAAGAAGAAATAAAAAATATTATTTATCTCTTCAGAATATGAATACCATACTATGAAGTATGGCAGTATTGGTAATAAATTACTCACATTAAAATATTCCTAGTTTTCTCACTAGAATTACTCTCCTTTGGCATACTAACCCCTTCTTATAAATAAATAAGCATTCAATTTCCATAAAGAGTACTTTGGTAACAAAACATTTTCTATTGTAATTTATAAATATTGCAAGATATTTCCAAGTAAGAGAAA